CATGGGTGTCGTTAGTGAAGCATAGTGAGGTGGAGCAAACCAATGCTCAATACTCATCTCCCACTGTCTGTGGGGTCATATTTATACTCCTTAATCAATGGTCCTTCCACATGTTTGCAATATTCAAACATCATTTCACCTGTGTCTGCTTCAGGAAAACAGTCTTTCATGTGTTTGGTTTAGCAAGACATCCTTTCTGTCGTGTGCCCCAGCAAAATGTCATTTGACATAACTAACTTTTTTTTTATTGGATGTTTTATTTACATTTCAGATATTATCCCCTTACCCCATTTCCCCCTGCCTCCCCACCCAGGAACCCCCTATCCCATCACCCTTCCTCCTGCTTCTCTGTGGATGTGCCCCTACCTACCCCCCATTCCCACCTCCCCACCCTCAAATTCCCACCCACTGGGGCGTCCAGCCTTCATGAGACCAAGGATCTCTTCTCTTACCTACGCCAGATAGGGCCATCCTCCCTTACATATACAGCCGGAGCCATGGATCCCTCCCTAAGTGCTCCCAGGCTGATGGTTTAGACCCTGGGAGCTCTGGTTGGTTGGTACTGTTGCTCTCCTCATGGGGCCGCAAACCCTTTCAGCTCCTACAGTCTTCACTCTGACTCCTCCACTGGGAACCCCATGATCAGTTCAATGGTTAGCTGTGAGCATCTGCCTCTGAATATGTCAGACGCTTGCAGACCTCTGAGGAGACATCTCTATCAGGCTCTTGTCAGCATGCACTTCCTGACTTCTTCAGCATCTGTCTTTGGTGACTGCACATGGGATGGATACCCAGGTGGAATGGTCTCCAGACGGCCCCTCCTTCAGTTTCTGTCCCTCACTTTGTCTCCATATTTGCTCCCTTGAGTATTTTGTTACTCCTTCTAAGAAGGACCAAAGCACCCCAACTTGGTCTTCCTTCTTCATGAGCTTCATGTGGTCTGTGAGTTGAATCTTGGGTATTTCAAGGTTCTGGGCTACTATCCAATAATCAGTGAGTGAATACTATGTTCGTTCTTTTGTGATTGGGTCACCTCACTCAGGATGATATTTTCTAGTTCCATTCATTTACCTAAGAATTTCTCGAATTCATTGTTTTTAATAGCTGAGTAATACTCCACTGTGTAAATGTACCACATTTTTTGTATCCATTCCTCAGCTGAAGGACATCTGGGTTCTTTCCAGCTTCTGGCTATTATAAAGAAGGCTGCTATGAACATAATGGAGCATATGTCCTTGTTATATGAATAACTAACTTTTAAAAGAACTAGAAGTTTCCACTTCAGTCCACTGCTGGGTTTGAGTGGGGAATGTCTATTGCCATAGAGCTGAGGAGATGGTTGACTGTGGAAAGGTGCCACCTGCCTTCAAGCCTGACTCCCTGAGTTTTATTCCCAAGACCCACATGCTGAAAGGAAAAAAGTTGCCTTCTGTTTCTCACCAGTGCATCAGGACACATGTTTGCATGAACATATGGACATATACACACATGCACATATATACATACGCTAAGGAAACAAGGCCTTGCTGTACAGTCCAAACTTTCTAAGCAGTTCAGACTGGTCTAAAATTTGAGGCATTTGGGCAGGAGCTGGTGAGGTGGCTCAGCAGGTCAAGGCATCCACTGACAAGTCTGAAAACCGAGCTCCATACCTGGGAGGCACATATTGGAGGGAGAGAATCTACTCTTGCAGGTTGGCCTTTGATTTCCACAAGCCATGGTTCATTCACGACCAAATATATAGACACACAACAAATAAAATGCAGCTTAATTTCAAAAGCAACTGGGGGCATGCTGGGGCTATGGTTCAGTTGGTAGACTGCTTGCCTAGCATGCATAAAGTCTTGGATTTGATTCCCTGTATCCCATAAGCCAGATTTAGTGATGTGTCCCTGCACTAGGGAGGTAGAAGCAGGTTTAAGCTTATCTTTAGCTACACAAGGAGTTTGAGGTCAATGTGAGCACAGAGAAAAACATGTCTGAAAAAACAAACTGATATTTTTTTCTTAAGCATTAGTGCCTTGAAGGAAGACCAGTATGGAATGGGTCAATGTAAGCAAGAAATGTTGAAACTTACATCTAGTTAATCATAATTTTGAAATGGAGAATTAACAACTATAGTTTAAATCAACCAGAAGACTATCTGAACTTCAAGAATGTCTAGCATGGAGGCAAGGAGAGCTCTTGTATGCTGGGACTAAGTCTGCATCAGAGGATGACCGAGTTCTATAGAAAGGAAGCTTTACGTAGGGACCCAGGCAGTGCTCACTGTGTCTGTCCTAACTTACCAGGTGAGATTTTGAGAAGGAAGAAAATTGTAGGACTTATGGAAGCTGGAAAGGAGAGATCTTGAGCTGAGAAAGGAGTCAGGAAGGTGAGGAATCTCAGGATTAGTAATCAGTGTGTGAATGGCAGGTAGAGTCCAATAGGACTTCACCATAGGAGCCCAACGCTCACACTGCTGCTTTTCAGGTGAGGGCCTGGTGAGGATGTATAGCCAGAAGTAAATGTGCAGGGTGTGTGGCTCAGTTGGCAGAGTGCTTACGTAATATACGTAAGACCAGGTTCCATCTTCAGCACCAAATAAGCCTGATTTGTAATCTCAGCACTTAGACAGTAGAGGCAGGATGATCAAGAGTTCAATCCAAACAAACAAACAAACAGACAGACAGACAAACAACAAACAAAGCCTGAAAGAGAGAACTGGGACCAGGGAGCCAGCTTCTCAGGCAGAAGCACTACTTACATAAGCCCAATGATCCAAGGTTAATATCTGGAACCCAAGTGAAAAATGCCAGATGGGTGGTACCCCTGTGAAATGGGAGGTGGAGACAGAAGCCTGCACCCAGAAGGTCTCTCTAGCTAATGCTCTGTCTTTCTCTTTCCCCTCATCTCCTCTTATATATACTACATTAATTAGTTGATTAATTAATTAAGAAAAACTAAAACAGAGCAAGGCATGATGGCACACCCTTGTCATCTAAGTACTTGGGTGTCAGAGGCAGGAGGATTACTTCCAATTTGTAGCTAGTCTGGTTCACATAGTAAGTTCCAGGCCAGCCAGGACTGCACAGTCAGACCTTTGTTTTTGTTGCTGTGATACACACCATGAAAACCACAAACAAACAAACAAACAAACATCCACAAAAAAAGCAGGTGGGTGGGTATTTTAGTTTGCAGGTCCTAGTCCATCATCAAGGGAAGCCAAGGCAGAAACTGAAACAGAGACCTTGGAAGAAAGTTGCTGCTGGATTTTTTCCATTGTTCCTGTTCACACACAGCGTTCTTAGTCAGCTCTGGGCCATGGGACCAGAAGTGACGCCACCCACAATGGAGTATGCTATCCCGCATCAGTCATCAAGCCAGACAATGTCCACAGGCCAATTTGATGGAACAAGTCTTTAACTGAGGATTCCTCTTTCCAGATGTTCCACCACACCTTGTTTCAACTCTCCTCTCTTCCCCTTCTCCATAGCCTTGGAGTTTGGCAATAGGCGCCTGTAGCCACAGTCACAGTACTCAGAAGGATCTGAGTCAGAAGGACCATATGTTCAAAGCCACCCTGGGCTATTTATCACATTCTAGTCTACACTAGGTTAAAAAACTGGAGTGTGTGTGCGTGTGTGTGTTAATGTGTGTGTTTGTTCATGCATGTATGCGTGTATGTGTGCGCGTATCTGTGTATGATGTCCTCATCTGTTTTCTTTTAAAAGTATTTTATTACATGTATTTACTTATTTGTGTTTGTTACTGGCCCTCTTAGTCTGTTGCTAAAAGTAGATGCTGGAGGCTGGAAAATTTATAAAGAATTGACATTTATCTGGATGCTAGAAAGACCAAGCATATGATCCCAGCATCTAGGGAGGGCCTTCTTGCTGCATCATAACCTGTGTGGGGCAACAGCTTGCTGGTTTGAATCTCTTTCTCTTCACGATGCCTTCATGGGCCACTCAAGAGACCCCAGCATGTACCACTGAACATATGAGTCTGGAAACTCGATTCCCAGAGACACACATGTGATGGCATCCCTAGGAAGCTAGTGATACAGAGTCTCTGTGTGAGGGAAGGAAATGGCAAACTCAGGAGCTGGGGAACTCCATATGTCTTAACATGACATTTGTTCATAAGTGTGTGCCTACTATGTGCCAGGCTCCTCACCTGGACTCTGGGGAAACCCTTAAACAGAAGAAACCACCTCCTCAGCATTATTGAGCCTGTATTCTAGTTTTATGTCCTAATGCCACCATTTTGGGCTTCATTTTAGTGCCCAACATCTCATTATAATAGCTTTGGCAGAGTCAGTCCTGCCTTGGTCCTCAGTGCTACATTTGTTTGTTTTGTTTTGTTTTGTTTTTTTCGAGACAGGGTTTCTCTGTGTAGCCCTGGCTGTCCTGGAACTCACTCTGTAGACCAGGCTAGCCTCGAACTCTCGAACTCAGAAATCCGCCTGCCTCTGCCTCCCAAGTGCTGGGATTAAAGGCATGCACCACCATCGCCTGGCTAACATTTGTTTCTTTTGAAAGGTTTCATATTGATAGTAAAAATTCCAGTTAAAAGTTTAGAGATCTTAGTCAACAATTATCTTTTGTCCTAAAGGACACAGCTTAGTATAATATATTTTTTTCTTTTTTGAGCCATAGTCTTTCTATGTTGCCCTGGCTAGACTGGAATTCACTATGTAGGCCACATTCATGTAGATCTATCAGCCTGCTTCTGCCTCCAGAGTGCCAGGACTAAAGGCGTGTCCCACTGTGCTTGGATAATAAATTTTATAGTGTAACAATCTGCTGATACTCAAAGTCTCATAACCTCATTTCTTTTATTGATTGATTTATTGGTTAGTTGATTGATTAGCTTCATAGAGATTAGGTTGGCCTCAAACTCAGTATATTATAGCCAAGAACAACCTTTGAGCTGATCCTCTTGCTTCTATTCACAAATCCTCCAAGGTTTAAAATCACATGGAGTACATCACCACACCTTCTCAGAGCAGCACTGGATCACGGTTTTTAAAATCCTTTTTAATATATCCATTTTGTGTGTGCACAAGCACTTAAGTATATACCCCCAAGCATGTACCATAAGGTTCCTACGGAGGTCAGAGGAAAACTTGTTGGAGCCCGTTCATCTTTCTGCTGTGGTGGTCCCAGGGGTGGAGCTCAGGTCTTATTTGTCAACTTGATTGGATCTGGAACAATACAAACCTCTGGCACTCTTGCAAAAGACTTTTCCTGATCTGATCATTTGAAGCAGAAAGATGTTTCCTAAAAGTGGGCAGTATCAGCAGGGTGTGGTGGCATAAGCCTTTAATTCTAGCGCTCAGGAGGCAGAGGGAGGCAGATCTCTGAGTTCAAGGCCAGCCTGGTCTGTATAGAGAGTTCCAGGACATCCAGGGCTATACAGAGAAACCCTGTCCTGAAAAAGCAAGGTAAAGACAACAACAAATCCACAAATGTGGGCAGTGTCTTTTCGTTGGTTGCAGCCCAGATGGTCAGAGGCTGTGAAAGAAGGAAGTCCTGCTTTGCATGCCAGTAGGCAAGCCCATCTCCTGTTCTTACTGCATTCTGGGCTGATATTAGAGCCACCTTCTTTAGGCTTCCAGCGTACATTTAGGGACAGAAGTTCTTCAGGAATCCTCCAAGTTTTTGGTGCCAGATTGAGACTGTGGAGACATCCAGTATTGTGAACTATTACCAGGTTCTCAACTGCTGCAGTATGACATATCCATGGTTGGACTACTTAGATGATATTCTGTAAGTCATTCTAATAAATCATTTATTATTATATAATGTTATATAATAATTCATAATATATATGCACATCTACATATCTGTCTTCATTCTGTTAGTTCTGTTTCCTTAGACAATACTGACTAAAACATTCAGCTTGGTATAAAGGTGGTTTATACCACCTTTAATTGCTGAACTGCCACAACCACCCATTGATGAAGGATTTTTGGCTTTGTTATATGTAGTCCAGATTGACCTTGAACACTCCTCTTGCTTCAGAAATCCCAGGTACTGAGATTGCAGATGCTCATCCACAGATCAGGATATTTATGGCCTTCAGTGACCCCTAGTAGGTTACATTGTACCCTCTCAAAGGCTTTGTCTCATGTGTTCTCATCCTGCCTTTAATCAACTTCCCTCACTCAAGTCTCTGAGCCCTTGACATCCTCTTTTTCTTGCTTCATTACCCCATAAGTAGCCTAAAGTAGAATTTCATCATTTTTTTTCTGCCAAACAGTTCAAACAGTGTACTGGGTACACTGAACAAATGAGGCAAGCAGTGTTATGGAGGGGTTTGTATAAGAGCTCACAGCCCAAGAAGACAGTAAACTTTCTATGTGTCTCTTGTATTTGAACTCATGACTCAGTGGCTGACTCACGTGGGCTCCTGTTTTTTCACCCTGCCATTTCTACAGAGGCTCTGTACATGCTGAACTCTTGACACTGAGAAGGCCTTTGAAATTTGAAGGCTGAGCAGGGCTGGTGACTCAGGAAGCAGAGGTGGATCTCTGAGTTTGAGGCCAGCTTGGTCTACAGAGTGAGTTCCAGGACAGCCAGGGCTACACAGAGAAACTCTGTGTTGAAAAAGCAACAACAGAAAAAAAAAATTGAGAGAAAGAAACTTGAAGGCCGACAGCTTGCTTTATTTGTGGATCTACACTGTGGTTTTGGCTAGACTTTAGCTATGTACTGCTTTATAAATGGTGTAACATTTATACTGTTTTTGTTGGATAATTACATGCCTTTAATTGTGGTACCATAAACAGAGTAGTAATCTGACTTAGGATTTGCCAGGAGAAGTCATTTGATATCAGCCTATCCTTGGTCCTTCCACAGAGGCCAGAACTATGGTCAGAAAGAAACAACTTTGTAATACACAAATGGTGTCTGCTGACTAGAGAGCTAAAGTGTGCCTTCTGGCTCTGTTTTGATCTTCTTTCCAAGAAAGATTCATCTATTCTTATTTTATGTGCATTGTATATCTATAGGCTATGCACCACATGCATAAAGTACCACAAAGGCTAGAAGAGGATGTCAGATCCCCTGGGATGGGATGAAGTTAGATGGTTGTGAACCATCATATGGGTGCTAGGAACCAAACCTGGGACCTCTCAGCAAGACAGCCAGTGCTCTTAACTGCTGAGTCATTGCTCCAGCCCTGTTTTCACTGTTGTTGTTTAATTGAGACAGGATCTTACTATACAGTCCCAGCTATCCTGGAACTCACTATGTTAACCAGTCTGGCCCCATACTCACAGAGATCCCCCTGCCTCTGCCTCCTAAGTGCTGGAATTAATGGTGTTCACCATTGCTGCCCTGCCTTGGTTTTCCATTTTTTTTTTAAAGATTTATTTATTTATTTTATTTATGAGTACACTGTCGCTGTCTTCGGACACACCAGAATAGGGCATCCAATCTCATTACGGATGGTTGTGAGCCACCATGTGGTTGCTGGGATTTGAACTCAGGACCTCTGGAAGAGCAGTCAGTGCTCTTAACCGATGAGCCATCTCTCCAGCCCCAGGTTTTCCATTTTTTTAAGGCAGGGTCTCAAGTAGCCATTGCTGGCCTCTAACTGGCTACACATGGATCTGCCTCTATCTCCTAAGTACTGGAATTTATATGTTATGTTATATGATATATAATACTTTACTGCCACCATCTCTCCCAGATACAAAGTGCCTTCTGAGCACAGCAGCAGACAACTGTGCTGACGTTTTAGTAGGGTTACTATGGTTGCCCCTTTGTTATTTAGTTTTCTTTAGGCCATGAGAGTTAGAGAGACAAATTATACCTTTTTAAGTTCATAGGCCTGGCCAGGCGGTGGTGGCGCACGCCTTTAATCCCAGCACTTGGGAGGCAGAGGCAGGTGGATTTCTGAGTTCGAGGCCACCCTGGTCTACAGAGTGAGTTCCAGGACAGCCAGGGCTACACAGAGAAACCCTGTCTCGAAAAAACAAAAACAAACAAACAAACAAAAAAAGTTCATAGGCCTGTTGGGTGATGGCTTTAATCCCAGCACTTGGGAGGCAGAGGCACGTAGATCTCTGAGTTTTCTGCCAGCCTTGTCTACAGAGTGAGTTCCAGGACAGCCTGAGATTACACAGAGAATCCTTGTCTCTAAAAACCAAACCAAACCAAACCAAAGAGAAAGGGTCTCTCTAAATAATCCTAGTTGGCCTAGTCCTATGTAAAGCAGGCTGATCACAGATTTCTAGTGATCCCTCTGCCTCTGCCTCTCTTGAGTCATGGGAATTACTGGTATCTGCCACAATTTAGCCAACTTTTTTCTCCTAGGGTTTGATTATTTGTTCCTCTTAAAGACTTATTTTTACCTGGACTCAGGCTTGGAAGTCTAAACTCAGCGAGGACAGCTGGTGACTCTGGCAATCTCTTCCCAGGGTTCTTTGTCCTCCTTCATTCTCTTGACCAACAGTTTGTCATGTCCCACCTGCTCCCCCATGTTTGTGTCAGTGAACTGTTCCTTCAGAGCTTGTGTTGTGAGACACATGGAATGACAAGTTGCTGAATCTTAAGTGCTTTGGCCCTGGGCTTCTGGCCTTCTTTGCTTAAGGGCTTTCGTATTGTTGGACATGATCTTCCTCAGAGAGATTTCAGATTCTGTGAGCTCTTTGGGGCCCAACCACCATGGTGAGAACACTCAAATTGCCAGCCCCCTACTTGAGTTGCTGCTGTCATAATTACTTTACATCAGATGTACTTATTTGTTTTGTGATGCCAGGCATTAGACTAAGGGCGGAGCCTGCTAGGCACGCACGCCATCACTAGGCTACTCCCCCACACTAGACAATTCTGATACCTTTTAAGAGAAATGAAAACATGAATTTGGGCAATAAAGGAATGATGCTTAGTGATTACAATGCCCTCACACTATCCATGCTAAGAATAAAAGGTTTCCATCCTCGGTTACCACTTTTAGTTTATGTTCCCTGGTTTTGCTCACTTATATTCATGGGCAGAAAATGGTATTTAGAAAGCGTCTTCCATCAGAAGACATTTCGGTGGTCTGGAAACCTGAGTCTAAGCTAACTGTTTGGCCTTTGGAGACAAATCATTCTTTTTGTTTAGCTCACTAGTGTAGTGTTTAGATTAACATCTAAATTTGTATTGAACCTGACAGGAACTGAAGAGCCAGGCCAGATATATGCATGCCTGTCTCCAAGGAGCCTATAGGATGACATGTGACAAGTAGGACCCTGGTCATTAGTCCATGATGAGTGTTTGTGTGAAGCAATATTTTTATCATTTTATGGACAGAGCAACTGAGGCACCTCGGGGTTAAGTGTCTCGGCTTCGAGTCCATTGCTGTTCAGTAGATTTAGGAGACCCAGCTCTCAGGCAGCTGTCTAAGAGTTTGCAGCCCATCTAAACCAGCTCTGCAAGTGGAAGCTCACATCTTTCATTTCCCTGAGGTCTGCTGGAATAGCAGAGGGGCCAGGGCATTCCCTGTCCCCTTGGACTAGCTACCGCTTCTGATCCCCAGAGGCTTCTGTCCACGAGGATTCAATCAGCCTCAGCTGGCTGGGGTGGCGGGCAGAACTGTCAGTCTTGGGAAGCTGTAAGCACTCAGTGCAGGGTCTTGAACTTTATCAGGTTTGAATGTGTGATTGTGAAAGTAAAGAGCAGAGAAATGACAGCACTCAGTAAATCAAACCGAGAGAAGATCTGGGCTGTCAAAGACCAAAAGAAAGCAGTCTCTGGGCCCACATGGGGCCAGCAGCCTGCAGACAGGGAGAGGGATACTTACCCACTGTGGGCTCTGCCTCTGTGCATCTCTTTCACAGTCTTTTTTTTTTTTTTAGATTTATTTATTTTTTAATTTATATGAGTACACTGCAGCTGTCTTCAGACACATACTAGAAGAGTGCATCAGATCCCATTAAAGATGGTTGTGAGCCGCCATGTGGTTGCTGGGAATTGAACTCAGGACCTCTGGCAGAGCAGTCAGTGCTCCTAGCATATGCAGGAGGCCCTGGTTTCCAATAGCCCTAAATAAAGAAAAATAAAAGGTGTTGGAGGAGGTGGAGAGAGAGAGAGAAGAGAGAGAAAGAGAGAGAAAGAGAAGAGAAGAGAAGAGAAGAGAAGAGAGAGAGAGAGAGAGAGAGAGAGAGAGAGAGAGGAAAGAACAATGAAAAATCAAAAATCAAACTGGGGCAAATCTACAGTACTAACTGAAAGGTAAAAAATCTTGAGAGAAGTACAGGGTTGGTTATGTGTAAACCAATTTAAATCAATTCTTCTAAGCCCCTAATATCTAGCGCCAGTCTCCTAGGTTGCCCTTCTTAATGGCTGTGTGCTTAATTCCCTTCTATCTGTCTCTAGGTTGGAGTTGGCAGGGAGTGCTGCTGTAGGGGACTGGGATTGTCTTTTTTTTTTTTTTTAAGAAGCTTCAAGATTGCTATCTTGGTTCTGCAGAAGATGTTGGAGTCTGCTGCTTGCATTTGCAAAGGGGAGAACAGGAATGTTTCCTCTTCAAAGGCACCAAAAGCCAGCAAAGGACCTATGTTTGTCTCACCCCCACCTTCTTCCCTACCATAATGCAATAAATAAAGACCTGGTGTTGGTACACAGAGGGCTCAAAACAGCCCCCCAAGTCAAATGGGAGTGCTTTTCTGGGAATTCATTTAGTACAGGGGTGGTTAGGTCACATGCGAAGTTGGAATTTTGTGCAGTGTATGTGAGGGTGTCAGTAATAATTCATAGACCTTACCATGCACAAGCATTCCTACCAAGATCTCACAATGATCCCATAAGGGAGTCGCTCCCTTTCTCCCTCCTTCTTTTCTTTCCTCTTCCTTTTCTTTTCTTTTCCTTTTCTTTTCCTCTTCCTTTCTTCTTTCTTTTTCCTGCTTTTCTTCTAGACTTTCTTTAATTTTTAAATTACACTTGTGAGTGTATGTGCTTACACATGCACATATGCCACAGCTCATGAGTGGAGGTCATTGGTTTTGTCCTGTCAGGAAATATTGTTTCTCTTTGAGTCGTCTTGTCCACTGTGTAGTCTTGGCTGGTCTGAGACTCACAGTGCTGCCCCAGCTTTGAGAACAGTGAATACACGCATAGTCAGGATACCTTGCCTTGGTTTTTTAAAGCTCTGTTTTACAGAAGAGGGAACTGGAACAGAGAAGTTGGGTGACTTGCCTTCCTCACACAGAAAACAGATGGAGGTATTAGGAGATGGCTTAGTAGCCCCAGGTTCTGGGCTGGCCCAGTGGTCTCACGAATGCCCTCAGCATTTAAGCTAGAGGAGCTGTCACCTTTCTAAAACCACTTCACAGCCTGGAAGACAACTGCAATCTACACCCCTTTCAAAGAAGACCAAGCTTCCCTTAGCTCCTTCCACAAAGCTGCCTATGGCTCTACAAGAGGTGCCAACCCCCTAGACTGTAAACACTTGCAAGCTTGGAGCTGCCTCTCCTGCTTTTTCTCCTGCAGTACATACTCAGGACATACTCTGTTGAGTATGTTGTTGAGTGACAGGAAGCTGGAGGGCTGTACAGTGGCAGGCAAACCTTTTGGTCCTAACTCTAAGTATTTGCAGCATAGCTAAATAGAGAACTCATGTTTCTGAGTTTTCTTTTCTTGGTCACTACCATCTCCTGGACTTAAAGACAGCATCTATAACTTAGCACATCTCTCAAAAACTCATTTTTCTGTTTCCTTTCCTTATTTTTTTTTCTTTCCCCCTACTTTATCAATCCCTTCCTGGCCTTTAAAAAAAGGAAGGAAGGAAGGAAGGAAGGAAGGAGGGAAGGAAGGAAAGAAGTAGGAAAAAAAGAAGGGAAAGAAAAGGGCAAATGCTACTTAATGGGGAGGAAGGGCTCTGAGGGACACAGGTTTGGGGCAGAAGGGTTCCAGATCCCAGAATTCATTGTACCTGTGCTCTCAGCTGCTTCCTTATCCAAGGGGACCTCAGTTCTAGTCCACCTATGAAGCAGAAAGTCCCTTTTCTTTCTGAGGCTTCCTTGTCTCCTCCTTCAGAGGCTGCCTTAGAGGGCAAGGCTACACAAGGAGGGTGTTTGGAAAGTAAAGTATTTAGAAGGACTAGGAAAAGGGGTGTAAGTTCACACCCCAGCATAAGGTGACAGGAGAGCCTGGACTGCCTTTTGGAAATGAGTCCAGTGTCTGCCAGAGAGTAGACTGAGGGAACAGCAAAGCAGAGGTCCTACCCACCAGGACCTGGGGACCTCACCCTTGCTTCCTGCCCTCTCAGCTCTTTCCACTTCCAAGCAGCAAAACCATCAAATCATTATCTGACCCTTTGGTCATCCCCTTTCCCCAGGACTCTCAGAGTCCTGAGTCAGCGGTTGAGAGGGAAGCGGTGGCTTTGGCTGACACACAGCCCTGGGCTTCAAGTAGCCATGCCAGCTGTAATTAATAATGGAGATTCTAAATCCTGCGTTTGACCAAACTAACCTTCGAGAGTCTACACCCTTTCTGGGTTCAGTCCCGGGACACAGGTCTATCACATTTGCCAGGGGTTCACTCGTTTTGCTCATGACCCCCAGGAGATATGGGGTGCTTCTCTGATCCTAAAATGAACCATGGGAAAGGTAGACAGGTATGATTTGCTTTTGTCTTTCTTAATATTAGAAAAAACAACAGTAGGACAAGGCTACAAACATTTGTAATTCCAATCAATGCTCTACAGGCCTGAGCCTTGAGGATCTGGAGCTCCAGGCCAGCTTGTCATACATAATAGAAGGCTTTATCTCAAAGGAAGGGGGGGGGGCAAATTTAAATGGCACTTTGGGCTTGTTTCATTGATCTTGGTTCTTTTGCAGGCCTGGCAGGAATGCTTTAGGTCCTACAGCTTCTGGGTTAGGGTTAGGGTTAGTTCCAATGCCCAAGCATCCCCAGGCCAGGAGACCCGGAGACAATGCCTCAATTGCAGTCACAGGTCGCAAAGGACCTTTGAGGTGGCGATTTCAGGGTGTCGGACACAAGCAGGCTGCAAAGGGAGGCCGGCGCCGGCGTGGAATTTCTTTATCGGGATGGTGGAGAGCCGCCAGCTTCTCCGCTTCTTTAAGGGATCCCAGAGAGACACCTTTCGGATCTTTTGTCAGACATCTTGGCCCTTAATAGCTAAATTTATTTGGTTTAAAACGGCTATGGGAGGCGTGGGGAGGGAAGATCTTTCGTCGGTCATTGGGTGGCCTAGATAACAAGCTTTAAAAGAGAGGAAAGAAGAAAGTAAAAAGGTTAATGGCTGAGGGTGGGCCGCTGGCGCCCAGCGTTGGGCTTTTACGGCGACCTTCCCGGGCCACCCCCTTATCGCAGCTGCGACTTACCGCCGCGTAAGAAGTACATTAAGTCACGTAAACAGCGCGCGGACAGAGATGCCACCTCAATGACCTCTCGGGTAGCCGCGAGCCCACCTCTGCGCTGAGCTGGAGGCTGCCGGCCAGGGTCACCAGAGGCTGCAAACGCGCGTGACCGCAGGGGCAGGGTCGGGTCCGGCGTGTCGCTTGATTCTCGCCGCCCGCCGCCCGGGACCGGTGTATTAGCCCTGTAGCCTGAGGCCTGGCAGAAAGAGAACTCTGAGAATTGTGTCGACCTTCGCTCTTCCGCCGTCACCTGATCACGTCTGGAGCGGTTTTGTTTGTTTATAGGAAAATAAGAATAAAACGGAGGAAGGGAAGAAGTGAGGTAAAAAGAAAAAAAAAAAGAAGGACACATCACGAAGGGAGAGAGAAGGGGAGGGAAAAGAGAGTACTCTGGTTGATGGCTGGGCTAGCGTTCCGAGTGGGGGCACACGCTATTCACACTCCTCTACTGGACTGGGACATTGGGGAAAATCAAGAAGCCAAGGGGACCGTATCGTTGAGTGAACAGTCCCTAAGACAGTAAGAAATGTGATGTAATCGACTAGGCTTTATAAATGTGTGTTTCCTTTTATTTAGTACGTGGGACTCGAATCAACATCCTTGAACATTAAGCAGTTCACCAGTGAGCTATAGCCCTAGTGTAACATTTTAAAACTAAAGTTCGAACTATGTTTAACACAGAAGTTATATGTGTATGTATCTACATCCCTTGTCCCACTTTTGAATCCACGTTGGAGCAGATAGAAGCTTCGTGAAATGACAGCTGAGTTTGCAAGGCCAACAATGTATAGCGACACGCATCTGCCCCCCCCCCCCCGGAAGCCTCGCGCCATCGAGTCCCCAAACACCTCTTCCGCTTCAGCTACAGAGCCCCCGCCCCCTGCCCTATTGGCTGCCGCGTTCGGGCTAGATTTAAAAGGCGAGTGGTGGTGTGGCCCGGACCAAATAAATGAGCATAGGGGGACAGGTTGCGCCTCAGAGCCAGACTTCTTTCGGGGCGTAGGAAGAAGATTCTGTTTGGAGGGCCTGCTCCTTGGGCCTAAATGGTTCTGAGCGAAAGGATTCCAGTCAAGACTAGCAAAGCCCGGTGGGAGAAGACAAGAGGAGGGACAAGAGAAAAGGAGTTGAAAAGAAAGAGAAACAAAACAAAAGAAAAACACTAAGAAAGAAACTTCAAGGCGCTATCTGGGGCATGATGGGGACCATCTCCATCTTGAGGCTCCCCTAGTTTGGTGTTTCCCTGGGCACTCCGGATTCTGCTGGCTTCCTTTTCCCGGGAGAGTCCAGCCTGAGGCCGGTGGGGGAGGGCTTTGAAATGTGTCTTTGCTGCTGGGCTGGGGTGTCTTCGCCAGAGTCCGTGAGTCGGGTGGGGGGGGGGAAGCAAATTAGAGTCTGCAGGCAGCCTAGGTTTTTGTCTTTGTCAACCGGACAGGTTAGACAATTTTATTTTTTACATTAACTGAGATAGAAAAAAAATCTCTCTCCAATCTATTTCTCTTTCGGAAAACCAGCCTTTAAAAATAATTTAAAGGTGAATTTTGTGACCCTGAAAGGAAAAACAATGATCTATCCTTTTTCTTGTGGTTGGAGGCACGACTAAAATGATTGGGAATGTGGAGGGTAAAATTATAGGTCCCTTCCCGAACCGCTAGGGCCCAAATGTTGATGAATCTGTCAATATGGGTCGAGCTCCTCACCTCTGTCCCAGAGGCGCCGGGGCTAGTGTGTCTGATGCCTAGCTGCGGGAAAGCAAGATCAGTAGGGGTTTGCTATTGTTTGCTATTGAAATTTATGCAGGATAACTCCCCGAACTTAAAAACAAAACAAAACAAAACAAAACAAAACAAAACAAAACGAAAAAGCCAACAACGAAAGCACAGGAGAGGAACCAGGTCGCGGTCAGAGCTCGATCTCCCTCAGCCTTGAAGGCCGTTCACAGCCAGGACGCCAAACTTAGTTAGCCAAGTCATTTGCCATTTTATTAGCAAAAACGAACTGTAAAAATTGCATTTAAGAGCAAACTGGAGACATTATTTCAGAAAATTGGACTCAAATAAAAAACGATGTCCGAAGTTTTAATGAATTGCTTACAAATGAACTTCGCAGAACCCAACCCGCTTAAAAATTTGGTTGGAACTTACCGGACAACGCAAAGCAAGCCGCTGGGAGCCGTGGTGGGAATCAGGCCGGCCCGTGCCAGTCTCTTGTGGTAGTAACTTTCGATCGAACTCGGGTTAAAATTTAAAGCCTTCGAATCCTGCTCTATCCGGAAGTCTTTCCATTCCAGAGTTTTCTACTTTCAGCCTTTCAGAAAGGCAGCCACGCTGAAGCCACAGTGACCAGGGGAGGCAAAAAGGAACGTGGTAAAAGTGACGCAGTTAGGCAGTGACGGTTTATAGGCCGTCTCGGTAGCAGGGTTAAAAATCACAAGTATTTGGCAGCGATTTACAGTGAGGAATGAAAACAGGAGAATTCTTGCTAACTTCCTGGATTCGGAGGCCCCCTCTCCCTCCCCAGTAAGTCCTTTTCCCTTCTTCCGCAGCTCACAGGTACAGTTCAAGGAAAGAACCCTTTCGTAGAGGTCTTTCGTGTCTTATAGAACACCTATGTATTCATGTTTCTATCTGCTTGGATCCCTCTCCTTTCTCCAATTGGAAAAACAATAAAAATAGATATCAAAAAAAACCTAAAACAACAACAACAACAAAGTTCAAATGCAGGAAGATCTATAGGAAACATTTACTTTAATTTACCTGGGGTGTGCGTGTGAAAATCCACTCCCACAAGAGTGTTTCTCCTGTGCAATTCCCTTCCCGAAGCCTTCCGGTGTCCAACTTGTCAGAAGAAGAAATCCTTTTTGTGAGTCCGAAGGAATAAGACGTATATCACTGCTGCTGCCTGGGACAAGCAGTTAGAGACTTTCCAGTCAGCGCTGCTGACAGACCGGCACTGATAACCCCGCCAGTGTTCATTTCCAGTCCTTGGCCCGCTAAGAACCCTATCAGTTTGTACTCAGTTGTGATAACCATTTGGAGGGAGCGACTAAGGGGTGTGTGTGTGTGATTGGGGGTGGAGAAATAGTATTTCTTTCTGGGTCCAAGCAAGGTACCCCCGCTCCTCTCAACGCGTTATCTTTGATTGATCTGAAGTCCAGAGAAATCTCAGTGTGAACGCGACAACCAAACTAGCGTCCTTGGACACCGCAGTGTTTTTCATTCATGACTGTCCCCAGCACCTCATAGATTCAACCTTTCGGTACACCACAACCCAAAGGTTAGCTGGGGAATGTCGTCCTGAACTCTACAAAACCTCCCAGGAATTTAGTATATATTTTAAGAGCAGGGGCGAGGTAGGGGATACACAAGAGCACCTTTCCCAGATTGTAGGACACCAAACCACTCCCCAAGACCTGAGCATCCCGAAATAGGGTCGGGAAAGTTTAAGGTCAGTTACAAGCAACTGCATGGGGGCGGCAGGGGCGTGGGCGGGGGCTTAGTTTGTAAGAAGGAGCTGGGAGGGCCAGTTGGGCATTTTTTCCCTCACTGACTTTGGGGGCGCCCTGACCCAGGAGGTGGCGAGCCCCTCCCTTTGAGGCGGCGGTCAGCGGGGTCTATTGAATATCCAGCTCCTCCCGAGCCAAGTTTCCCTCCCCCTTTCTGCCCCGGGTGTGACGTGTGTGTGTGTGTGTGTGTGTGTGTGTGTATGTGTGTGTGCGTGTGTGTGTAACTGGGGACCCGGGGATGTGTTCCAGCGCTGGATGAACATGAGTTGCTTGCCAGGTCAGGCATGCTGTTGCCCCTTCCACTCCCTTGGTGTCCTCTAGCTGGGCGCCTCAAGGGTGGACTCGCCTCCACTCTGAGGACCGGCTAGCAGCTCAGTCCACGCCCGAAGGCTGCCTAGCTCTTATTGTCCGCAAGGGCTGAGCACTCCCCTCCCCCTCCCCGCCTCCTCCCCACCCGCTTTTTTCTCCTCCCCTGGATCCCTCCTCCTTCTCTTCACCTCCGCACCCAGCAGCTTGTAGAGAGCAGTTCCGACCCACAGCCTGGCACCCTTCTGCGAGCGCTGTTTGTTTAGGGCTCGGTGAGTCCAATCAGGAGCGCAGGCTGCAGTTTTCCGGCAGAGCAGTAAGAGGCGCCTCCTCTCTCCTTTTTATTCACCAGCAGCGACCAGCAGACCCCGGACTCTCGCTCTCCCGCCGGCGCCCTCCGCCTCTCTCCGAGCCCCGGAGCACCCTCGGCTGTTCTTCACGCACGTCGCTCGCCCGAGGTTCGGCTGCTTCCTCCTTTGTCCCCTCTTCTCCCTTCCAACCCTACCAGTCACGTCCCCTTGGGCCTCCAGCTCTCTGGCCTTTCCCTGGCTGTGATCGGTTCCAAGGGTGTCCCCTCCTTCGCTCTAGAGGATTGCAGGGACTCCAAGGTTCCCGGGATACTCCGGACCAGCCTCCCCCGCCCCCTATTGCTTATCTACCCGCAGCTTATCTCGGAGTTATCACAGCGCCAAGGGGCGGGAGCGGGTATCCAGTGGGCAGAGAAACTTCTTTCTTACTATCTTGCCCGGGTCTGTGTGTGGGCATTAATTTTAGTGTGGTTATCTCCGATGAGCCTGAGCGATTTGGAAAAGCAGTCCGGTGGAGGCCTGCCTGGCTCCCTACCCTCTCCAAGTCTCCCTGTCATTCTTCCTGCTCTCCTCTTTGGGGTGGCCTCGGCTCTGGGGCGGTCTCATCCCCCTACCCTCGTGCGTTCCCCCGCCCCCCTTTTCTCTGCGCTCTGCTCCACCCTACTATGTCCAATTCCAGAACGATCTGGCCTTTCCCCGCTGGGGTTGACCATGGGGTGGGCCGGGGATAACCGGGCTGGCCTGAATGCGCGCACTGGTGGTTGTAAGGCGGTCTGTGTTTAAGGTATGCGGCTGGCCTGGACGCGGTTGGACATGAGGTTTTGACGAGTGGGTTTCCTGCACTATTTCTTAGGTCTTTATGCCTTTCCTGGCATCCCACTTTCTCTGGGCTGGGAAACTTTTTTTGGAGCTCGCGTTGGGTCTGGTCAGCGAGGTCTGGAAAGCTCCGAGAAAAAGCGGCGGTTTCGTTTTCGGGGACAGGTTGTCTTTTCTAGCTATTTCCACGCGCGGAACTCTCTCACTGAGGCATTCCAAGAAAGGGTCACCTACTAGGAGTCAGAGTGAGACAGCATTGACACACATTAAATTCTTTCGTGTCACCGGCTCAGAGTTAGCCAATCTGAGACAGAAGGAAAAACCTCGGCCGGTTTCGAGGTCACTCTTGGGATCTGGCATGCTTTGCAGAGGATGGATGCTGGGGGTGGGGAGTGGGGGTGGGATAGGAGGGCTCAGTGACACATGTCCTGGGTGATGGAGGAGGGCACCCTAGTTATCCAGGATCCCCTGGCTGCTGCACGGATTTCAATTGCTGTTTTCTAACCCCTCAAGCAGGGACAGAAGCGGGAATATTTAAGGAATGCCCTAAACTAGGAGAGGGGTGGGTGAGGGAGTGAAGTATGTTTGTAGACAGTCTACCCTTTTAGTAAGTCCACTTTATCTGTCTTCCCGTCTTGTTCCTCAATCCCACCCTAGGAACCAAAAGTCAGGTTGGAGCAGCGCCGGACAGTGGATGGCCTTGACTGACGGCGGCTGGTGCCTGCCGAAGCGTTTCGGGGCTGCTGCTGCGGACGCTGGCGACTCGGGTCCCTTTCCAGCTCGGGAGCCCTCCTCACCGCTTTCCCCCACCTCGTCCTCGTCCTCCTCCTGCTCCCGGGGCGGGGATCGCGGTCCCTGCGGCGCCAGCAACTGCAGGACGCCGCAGCTCGACACCGAGGCGGTGGCGGGACCTCCGGGCCGCTCGCTCTTACTCAGCCCCTACGCCTCGCATCCCTTCGCCACTGCCCACGGAGCTGCGGCTCCCGGGGTCGCTGGCCCCGGGAGCGCCCTGTCGACTTGGGAGGACCTGTTGCTCTTCACTGACCTCGATCAGGCGGCGACCGCCAGCAAGCTGCTGTGGTCCAGTCGGGGCGCCAAGCTGAGCCCCTTCGCCACCGAGCAGCCGGAGGAAATGTACCAGACGCTCGCCGCCCTGTCCAGCCAGGGGCCCGCCGCTTACGACGGCGCGTCCGGCGGCTTCGTGCACTCCGCAGCGGCGGCGGCCGCGGCGGCCGCGGCGGCCAGTTCCCCGGTCTACGTGCCCACCACGCGCGTGGGCTCCATGTTGCCCGGTTTGCCCTACCTGCAGGGGGCGGGCAGCGGGCCCAGCAATCACGCGGGAGGCGCGGGCGCCCACCCGGGCTGGCCCCAGGCCTCCGCCGACAGCCCCCCGTATGGCGGAGGTGGCGCAGCCGGCGGCAGCACGGCCGGACCGGGAGGTGCGGGATCGGCCACGGCCCACGCCTCTGCACGCTTCCCCTACTCGCCCAGCCCGCCCATGGCCAACGGGGCCGCGCGGGACCCCGGGGGCTACGTGGCTGCGGGCGGCGCGGGCGCGGGCAGCGTGAGTGGCGGTGGCGGCAGCCTGGCGGCCATGGGTGGCCGGGAGCACCAGTACAGCTCGCTGTCCGCAGCGCGGCCGTTGAACGGGACGTACCACCACCACCACCACCATCACCCGACCTACTCGCCCTACATGGGCGCGCCGCTGACTCCTGCCTGGCCAGCTGGACCCTTCGAAACGCCAGTGCTCCACAGCTTACAAAGCCGCGCCGGAGCTCCGCTCCCTGTGCCACGAGGGCCCAGCGCAGGTAAAGATCAGATCGCGCTGCAGTGTGGGGGTGCGGGCCGGGGACCCTGGGGCACAAGCCAATGTGGAATAGCTATTTACTAGACTCCAACTGGGCCAGCAAAGATTTCTTAGAGTCTTAGTAGCAGACTCAGAGCGATGCTGTGGGGATACTCTTGTCCAGAAAAGAGAACGAATGCACATCTATGATCTCAGGGCCGTGGGGAAGGGTTGTGTACAGAGTGGGATAGGGAAGACCGGGGCGCGATTGAGAAAACGTGCATTTCAGTTTGAGAGATATGTGGGGCTGGATCTCCGCTTGTACCCTGGTTTGGGTGAGTGGTGAGTGAGGTTTCAGGACTGGGTGGATTTGGAATGTTGGGCGGTTGATCGGGTAGACACGTGGACTATTCAGCCTCTTCTAATTCAGTCTAAGTTGAGGAGCTCCGTCCCTTCGGTATTTAAATAGGACACTCAAAAACCCTGAGACTCAGGCGTCTACAAGCATCGCTGTCCTCCCACTCCCCCACCCCAAGCAGTGACAGCAAAGGGGACATGGTCATCTGTGACATCTGTGGTCCATGGGCCTTCAGGCTTGGCATCTGCTAGGTGGGATTCAGGGATGTGGCTTCTACTTGGTCAGGCCGGGACCTTCAGAGTTTAGCTCACTGAAGCTAGCCTCGTATTCTCCGTGCCAGAGACTATTGAAAGTGTAAAGTGGGGGAAACACAATCAGCTACCTTGGAAAGACCTTATTTTGGAAAGTGGCTCTTAAGCAGAGGAAGATATGATCAGAGCATGGTTTCTTTCCCCAGTCATCCTGTTTTGAGCCTGGGGTTCATCCATCAGTCTCTTCTTCTCAGGGTTTCACCCGTTTGACAACTGTTCCTATAAGGGAAAAATGTAGCCTTCTATTTGAGGGCAGTAGTTAGTCTTGAATGGAGGCACACTTGCTCAAACTGTCCTTCCCATGAATCTTCAAGTCTCATTATGGGAGCCCCTCCACCCTTAGGTTTAGGGACATTCTTTCAGGGCCTCTGACTAGTTACACTGAAAGGGAATGTTGTTGAGTTTGTATTTAGAAAACCCAGTGGCTTAAAGTGAAGAACCCGATTTGATCATCTCACTAGTAACAGAGAGGTCTACTCAGTAAAGAAGTCAGTTTTCCCAGCTGCTTTCAGGCACCTCCCTCCCTTGTACACCTTTACTGTCAGACTGGAAGACAGGTATAGCAAGGACCCTGTTGAGAATGTTCTGATAGCTTGGGATTTGATAGAGCCTTGGTAGGTTGTCACCCTTCCTACCACATAAAGACCATGTTTGGCTCCCAGGGGACCAAGAGACTAAAAATCTTCAAGGGACGAGAAAGCATGTCTGGGCTGTGCAGCTTTGTCTGATGTGAGTAGGGAATCCCAAAGAGTTTGTGGGG